CCGCCGCCTCTCTCCAAACAAACGATTTCCCGGCGAGGCAATCGGTAATAGGGGCCATAATAGAACTAAAATGGGAGACAAACCGACGGTAAAATGAAGCGAGGCCGTGGAAACTCCTCGCCTCTGTGATTGTCGTTGGAGTAGGCTAATCGCGAATTGCCGCTACCTTGCCATCGTCCACGCGAATGCCAGCTGCCGACACCACAAAACCTAAGAAGAGAACCATGTCCACCAAAAACACACACTTCTGAGGAGCTGCATAGAAGGACTCCGCGCGAAGAATAAGCAGGACCTCACGCACATGCAATAAATGGTCATCCAGAGAACGGCTGTAAATAAGAATGTCGTCGAAATAAACGACGACACACTTACCAATGAGATCCCTCAAAGTCTGGTTCATCAAATGCATAAAAGTACTCGGTGCGTTGGACAGGCCAAAAGGCATCACCAACCATTCAAAGAGGCCTTCCCGAATCTTGAATGATGTCTTCCACTCGTCTCCCGGTCGAATACGAATCTGTTGATAACCGCTCCGAAGGTCAAGCTTGGTGAAAATAGTCGCGCAATGTAGTTGGTCTAAAAGGTCATCTAGTCGGGGAATGGAGTAACGGTACTGCACAGTGATATTATTAATGGCCCAACTATCCACACACATGCGCCAAAAGTTATCCTTCTTGGGGACCAATAAAGCTGGAACGGCACAGGGGCTGAGACTACGCTGAATGACCCTCACTGGAGCAGGTCATCCACTTGTCGTCGAAGCTCGTCATGCTCTGCTGGGCTCATGCGGTAATGAGGATGGTTTGGAAGGGCCGCCCCAGGCACCAAGTCAATCTGATGCTGAATATCCCGCAAATGAGGCAGTCCCGATGGCAACTCAGAAGGAAAAACGTCAGAAAATTCCTCCAACAAAGGGAAGATGGAAACCGGAGGTGGCTGAGGGGAAGCCAAGTCGGAACCCAACAATAAGAGAACAAGTGTACCATCCTTCAATTCCTCCACAAATGCCTTGCTCGAGAGAAACAAAACTGGAGACGTGGAGGACGGTGGCAAGGGACGTGGCGAGGCCGACTGCAAGGTCATAAGGTCATCTTAACACCCTCAAAATTGAACGTATAAGTGTTAAGACGACCATCGTAAGAAACTGCCCGATCAAACAGCCAGGGCCGGCCCAACAACAGATGACACGCGTCTATGGGGACAACATCACACCAAATCTTGTCCCGTTAAGACGTGTCGATTGAGGAAGACACAAGCACTCGAAGGTTGACAGTGACGCCATTCCCACGATGTATCCACGCCAATGAATAAGACCGCGAGTGCGGCTCGGTTGAAAACCAGAGCTTGTCCACTGCTTCTTCTACAACCACATTTTCACAAGAACCCGAATCAATAATAAACCGACAAACTCGATCACCTACCGTGCATGTGGACTCAAAAATTTGGTGTCGCTGGCTAGAAGCATCAACATTCCCATGAGGTGTCAAGCAAGAACGACGTAGGACAAGTGCCTTCCCAACACGATGATATTCAACTGATTCCGAGGTGTCTTCATAAAAAATCGGTGGTCCATCATATACAGGCTACTCATCCGAGTCTTCACCACCATCAACAAACATCGAACGTCTGCCGGTCGATCGAGGGCAGACTGACTGTCGATGACCCACCTCCCTACAGGAAAAACAACGCAACCCGCCACCCTGCCGAGGACCCACGTGCGTGACGGCCGTCGCGGATGACCTTCCAGGCCCCAGCGTGGCGGCTCGACCCGACCCAACTGTAGAGGGCCCAACGGAAGACGGGCCTGCAGAGAAACTCGAAGCTGCGTTACCCGTTCCCGAGCCCATGCACGCCGGGTTGAAGCCCGACGTGGTCCGTCGAGCCTACTACTGCTCCGACATAAGGGCGCGTTGGTGGGCGTCACCTAGGGTGACCGGTATAAACATGTTCACGACATCTTGAATCGGTATGCAAATTCCACTGATGTAGCGAGAGATCAACTGGTCCGACGTCTCACGACTATCAATTCGAGTGAGCAGTTTATAGAATTCTTCAGTGTAGTCGTCAACCGACCTATTCCCTTAACGGAGTGTTTGGAATTTCTGATAAAATAGTACGAACATAATTATAAGGGAGAAATTCCTCTTCCATGTGTTTACGAAACTTAGCCCAAGAATTAATTGGTGATTTGCCCAGCAGATGCTGCCGCTTCTCCAATTGGGTGAGCCATGCTCTGGCTCGTCCACGCAAACGCATCGCTACAAACCCAAAGCGCCGTTCATCTAGAACATCTTTAAAATAAAGCACTCTTTCCACTGCGGTGATCCAATCGAGAAATTCAGCAGCGTCAAGCCCGCCCGAAAATTCCGGCACATCCATGCGGAACCTGGATTCCCAGCGGCTATCGCCACCCTCCGCTGCGCGGCGCGGTCCACGGTCATCACCTCCGCCGTCACTGTCTCGGTGCTCCGCGTACTGTCTGC